TAGCGGTTAAAAACCGCTAGAAAAGTTTCCCGCCATTCTAAAAATTCAATTGGTGTGAAAATTTAATTTCCCAAACATTTCTAGCGGTTCTATAACCGCTAGTAATTTTCGCGCGCTACTGAAATTATTTAATTCCCGTTTAGCAGGTTTCTAGCGGTTATAAAACCGCTAGAAATTTTTTCCGGGGAAAAGTTTCTAGCAGTTATAAAACCGCTAGAAACGTTTCCCCGGAAAAAATTTCTAGCGGTTTTATAACCGCTAGGAATGTGTCTCCTTCAGATATTTTCTAGCGGTTCCGAACCGCTAGAAATGTTCTATCGTTTTGACCATGATGTGTAGCGGTTGAGATAACCGCTAGAAATTTTTTCTAACACCTGTTTTTCTAGCGGTTTCCTTAACCGCTACAAATGTTATTTGTTGCGGTTAAAACCGCTAGAAATGTAACACCATAACCGCTAGAATTAACATATTTTTTTGTAGTGATAGGTAAATCACTTTAATTGGATGTGTACACAAGAAGATATGAATTTCCAAAGTTGAGGCATGGAATCTGGTAGTTCCAGATTTTACCAAATGAACAGTAATCTTTATTGATTAAACTATACAAATTGGGTAAGGATAAGTCCAATTGGATATTTTTCTCTTAAAGAGCAAACAAAGAGCTTTCTGTAGAATTTTAGAACACCTCAATACGATATTTATAGATTTAGTTATGATTTTTCGAAGTTGGACCTTTAATCTAAAAATTGAACAGTGAATAGTAACTTGAGTAATTATGTTGGAATTTTAAATCCACGGGTTTGTATCGTGATCCGCTTGAACCATAACGCTTACAAATACGTACTCTGAGGGATAAAAAGAAGGATGTTTCAAACTCTCTTATAAATGTGTATAGGTACACGCACACATTAGGAAATATTTGTAAATAGCATATTGTGTAGATATACAAGTTTCTATTATTTTAGTCAATTAATTGTTTCTATAATTTGTTGTTGTATGTATACCTAAGCAATGCTTAACCATGGGTTTATTAATGTAAATTGGAATTTGTATTAAGAAATTTTAATTTATGGATGATATATTCCAACTTTCGTACAAAATTTGAATTTTATCTATTATAATTTGTTTTTGACGCACTAAATATAGCAACTTTCAATTGGATATAACTTTCTCAATTTGAATTCGAATTAGATAAATGATCTATTATTGAAAAGCACTCTGAGTTTACCTTTTAGTACAACAAGTGATAAAACTCATTTGTTCTATGTTATTTCATATCATTTTCGGGGTTTTTATTATAGATTTGGGCTCTTTTCGATGATAAGTATGCTTAATTTAGATGAAGAGTCCTTGCTTTGAGTAGTGTCTTTTTTAGGGTAAAATTATCATAATTAGTATTAATTGTATTTAATTGATTTTTAGGACAATTAATGCTTTAAATTATTACTTGTCATTGTAGGACATTCAAGAATTAGAGCTAAGATAGAGAATGCTTCGCCGCAGTGCAACTTCAAAATCTCACCAGTGACCTCTCAGGAAATAAATTTGTCGCGGCAAAAGTATCCCTTAATCATGACGAAAACGCTCATATCAGTAATTCCTGATTCAGATTAGAACGTGAAATTGAAGCCCAAACTCATATGATCAGACCCAGATTGGCCCCCTAAACCCTTAAAAACCCTATTTTCATCCCATGACTCCATTCTCTCATCTCCAACACTTCTATTCTCTCATCCTCTGGCCTTTCCATCTCCACCTTCCTTCCCATCCATTTCTTCACTTTTTCGTCATCCCATATCATCTCGTTCATCTCCTAACTGCTATGACTAAAAATTCCACTCTGGTTGGGGCTGTTTCCAAGGTTATAGTGGGCTAGGATTTTCCAACTATTGAAGATGGTGGAGTAGCATGAGTTTCCAACCTTCAAAGGTTTTAGTTTCAATCTATAATTTTTAGCTATGTTCTTATTAATTCCCAGGTTTAGAAGTTGTAATTCTTAGTTAAACACTTGGATTGCTGTTGTAGTCATTATTTGATGATTTATAATTATAGTTTGGATTAGTTAATGTTGAATTCTGTGCTTCAATATATGTGGTTGCATATATGTTTCATGTAATCCTATTGATTCTCTTCTATCTTAGATGGTTCTGTTCTGATATTGAGTTAATGTTGGGTTACGTTGAACCAATTGTATTGATCATTCTCAAATTCCACATTAGGAAAGCTTAACAGTGTTTTCATTAATGAAGTTTATTGATTTAAACATTGGACTCAATGGGTAATTGAAGTTGTTATTCAAGAAAACCTAATGACTTTATGAAACTGCCAATATCTTAAGTAAGCCATGATTGCCATTAAAACCATTTTCAAGAGATTTCCTATCATCCATTTCCATTCCATCAACACTTTATGCAAAAATACCAAAAATACTATAGCTTAGGTTTATTTTCATTGCATTTAGTTTAGTCACCATTCATTTAAATCTTTAAAAATCCAAACCCCTTTTCAATTACATGTTTTCATTGCATTTAGCTAGCTTAGATCATCAATAAGGCTCCCAGAAGTGAACATGACCCGGATTGCACTGCTATACTGCATCCCTTGGATCCGATTATAAATTTATTGCATTTGGCCCCAAGGCATAATGACACGGTCAAATCAACAAAATTATTCAAAAAATCTTACTATTAGAAAAAAGATTTTTTTAAACTAGTTAAAATTGACTTTTTAAACTGGAGTTGGGATGGGTGTGGAAAAAGTCTGGTACTTTTTACATTGATTGTACCACTAACCTAAAAATAAAAAAGATATGCAATTTTATCAAACCTGATAAAATACCAAAAGAAGTTGTGAATTTAAATGGTAGCTTCTTTTGAGATTTTATCATATCTCATAAAATCCAAATATTATAACATTGCAACAAAGTATCCAACAATCAAAGAAATAAGAAATAGCATAAGAGTAGAAGCAATTAGATCTAATGAGATAGTACAAAAAGCTAGCCAAGTTTGCCAGAAACAGCCTCGATTCATATTGATTCATACAATAAAAGTATATTTGATAAATAAAGTTGAAAATTATTCATTAAATAGACAAATAGAAAAAGAAAATTGATGTATAAACTTAGAACAAATATGGCGATGATGAAGATGAGTACAAATCTAGAAAAATATTAGCATCTAGATGATAACATAATGAGAGCTTGAGATAGCACGGATCTGTATGCAACAAGCATAGATCTTGATGCCATAGCATGAATCTAGATGGACAGGCATAGATCTAGATGCTTCAAGCACTGATCTCTAAGTGACAATAATGGAAGTCCATGGACCTAAAAAAGATGACAAATACAGAGAAGATGATGTGCTATAAAATAGACGAGCATGAAGAAGACATCACAACACAAAGGAGACGATCATGAAGAAAAGGACTTGCATTGAGGTAACTAGTGAATGGAGTATAGAAAGGAGATTACAAGTGAACTCAAAGAGATTATGAGAGAATGAAGTTTACTTTAGAAGAGACGGCCACAAAATGAAGTGGGTTAGATCAAAAATTTTAAATCACCTTTTAAGAGCATATAAAATATTATGTTTTGAAAAAATATTTTTAAAATTTTTTTTCACCGGTTGAAATAAACATCCAGATAAGAAAGTATATTTTAGACCAGTTGCATTTGAAGCCAATTTAAAAGCTTGGAATTTTTTTTTTTAATTTTAATACTTTTTACACTTGTTGCACAAACAACCAATGTAAAAAGTACTCCTCCGGTCCTAATTATAAGACCCAATTGACTTATTTGAGGAGATTAAGGAGTAAGTTAAGTTGGTTATTTATAATAAATAAGTGTTGTCATTCCTAAAATATCCTTGCTAATTAAGTATATTGGCTAAAACTATCATTATTAGAAGGATTATCTTGGAAAAAAATACATAAATATAAGAGACAAAATGGATTGGGTCTTATAATTAGGATCAAATAAAAAGTCAAATTGGGTCTTATAATAAGGACCGGAGGAGTACATATTTATACCAGTTCTATGTGAAACAGGTTTAAAAATCTATCTATATTTACAAAAATACCACTAGTCACATTTTTTACACCATTGCCACAATAAACAATGTAGAGTAGGCATTGTAAAAAGGTTTTTTTTCCCCCTAGTATTGGCTTTGTAATTTTAAAACTATGATCGAAATAATGAGTAAGGGTCAGAATCATATTTCTCATCAGATTTTAAACCAAATTTAAAAAATCATATCTATTTCATATGAAAACATTTTTCTTGAGGTAGATGTTGTTGAACAGCTTAGAATCTTTTTTTTTTCTTTTGAGCGAAAAGAGTCTATTTTTATATATAACAAGTTTCACTTCAAAAATATTGACATATTGGCCTTGAATGTTACTCAAGTTCTAAATCTGATGATTGAGCGCTTATAGCTCAAGCTTGGGTGATATTTTTACCCTTGTGTTGATATTCTTCCAGGTGCATATGTTTGCCTTTTAAAGCATTTGCAGAATGCTTTTCCTCCTTGTCCGTTCAAAGATTCTTTTTGTTTTTTAATTAATGAAATATTTTGTTTATCTATTGATGAGAAGAGAGGAAGAAGCAATAGGAGAAGGAGAAAAGGGAGAGAGCAATAGCATATGTTTTGTGGGGCAGACTTGTCTTTCGTATTTGCTTGCTTGCGCTAGAAAATTAGTTGCAATAAAAAGGGGGTGGGGACCCATTTTCCTTTATATAGATGAAAATTTCCCACTGCCAGAGAATTGCTACTGATAAAATTGTCCAACCAAACATACCAAGGCTTATTGAAAACCTTGATTTTCCCTTTCCCGAGCCAGATTTTTAGTACACCAAATGGGCCCTGTGATTTGTGTGTGCATATCTAATAAGAGAACAAATTGGCACAGAAAAGGAAGCGGGAAGCAATGCGAGGTCGTTTCATCGAATCCTTGCTTTTGAGCAGAGTAATCGTGAATGAAAGAGACTATATATCTACCCACAAAGGCGTATTAGATATCCACCTAATGAACATCGCAAAAGATTCTTCAGGCTTGTACTCCGGAGTTATATGTCCAGCACCCTGCAATTTACATAAATAAAACCAACAGATTAAACTTCAAAATTAATTATTTAATGCGCACTTCAATTATTTTCAACCCTTCTTCGTTTTTCTTGTCTTCCAAGAAATCAATAATACTATATATACACAGCTTATATTTCATGTTACTTAGTGAACTTCCCGTTCTTTGTTCTTACCTTTACAGTGGCAAATGTCATCTTATTAGAATACCTTCTCGTATATCTGGTCCAAAGGAAACAAATATGTGAGGTAGAGAAGAAAAATACATATATCAAAGGTAAATTGAATCAAATTTTGAATACTACAATTTGGCTTTCAATGGTCAAATTCACGCACGCACATAATATCTTTAGTCCCTAATATAAAAGCTAATTTGTAGTTGAATTTGGTTTTAGATATAAAAACCTTAGTTCATTTTGTCCCCATACTTATAATTTTTTTAAACTATCCCTATTGATTATATATGTTAAGGGAGTTTACATTAAGTGATAGTTTCAATACAAATAATTTAAGAATGTATTTTAGAAAAGGTAGCATGCATATTTTGAAAAAAAAAACTAATTTAATTAGTTTTCTTAATCTATTCCAATTAATTAACTAGATTTTATATTAAGAGACAAAATTAGTATATAATTTTTCCAAAGTTATGCTACATGGAAGACAAATCACACTATATTCATAAGCTAATTAGGTATAGTGTGTGAATATAATATACGCACCCTGCAACCTGGCCATTAACAAGCCAAGGTCTCCAGTCTTCAACAATGGAGTAGTTTAAATCTCTGATCCATGCTTGAGTCGACATAAATGGAACTATTGGGTCATGATCTCCACTGCATCAACAAAGTATTTAAATATCTTGTAATTAGGTCTTCATTATTCAAAAATTGACATAAAATGATAATAACCTGGTGATGAATTTTTTTTAAACCTTTTTCTTAAAATTTTTCAACTGTATGTATAATAATGAGCAATTAATTTGTAATTATTATCAATGCTTTATATATAATATATAAAAATTCTGACAAATTCTATAATATATGAATATACTTCGAGTAACTTGTAAATGGAAGCCGCTAGATTAGTTTTAAAGAAAAGAGACATACTTGTAAATCAAAGATCTAAAGCCTTTTGGGCTTAGATTTGCATGATATGGAAAGGCACTGGTGATGTCGTAACTATAATCGAAGGGATTACAACGTTGCCAATTCCTTTTGCTGCCCTGCACCACAAATTAACCAACCTTTAAAACCTTAGATTTGATTAAATTTCACATTTTTGTAAAGTTTTTAATTTAATTAGTAAAACTTACAAAACTCATGAGAGATCTTATGCCTTAATTATTTTTTTCTAAAAAGAAGGAGAAAATAATTATAATCAAACCTTTCGAATATGTAGTGCCTCCTGAACTTTGTTATCCTGAATCCAATCGTAGCCGAGAAAATATACATAACTCTAAACAATAGAAACAAACGAAAATGAAATATCAAATAAGTTTATAATGGATTTAAAAAGAAATTATTACTAAGTATATACAAAAAAAAAAAATTACTTGGCAACTTAAAGGTGGCCTTGCAAGGCGAGAACTAATTAGGGTCGTTCGAAATTTGTTGATCAGAGATCTTCTACTGAAAAATCCATGAGGCGTATTCAAAGCCATTTCACATTTGGGATTTAAAGTGTCATATTCACTAAGTCCTGAAATGAGCTGAGAGATCAAACAAAATAAAACAGTTTAATAACAAGGTAATTATTGATTATTATATAATTTATAATTGAAATATTAAAAGAGTATATGTGTTTAAATAATGTGACAGTTGCTTGCCTCGTGTAAAATGTTGAAGTCTCTCAGACATGATTTATTTTCTGGATCTATATTTATATAATTTCCTTTACAATTTTTCTTCAACGACTGTTCATAAAATAAATTGTTAGATTCATAATCATAATATAATCATATCAATTTTTCAAAATGTAATTAATATATGATGATAATATACCATATAAAGTTCATCAGAAATAAGCGCCATTCCATGAGCAAATGAGGGCAAATAATTTTCTTCTTCCATTGTTGTGAGGGGATTTCCTAGCACATATCCCTGAAAGAATAATTTATTATGAAACATTAGTTTCAATCTACTTTAAACATAACATAACAATAAAAAAGACATATTTTGGTGGAACGACCTGCTCAAACGATGAGCTCCTTGTTAATTAACCTTAATAAAGTTTCTAAGTATTTTATAAAGCAAAAACAGTGAAGGCAATATTTGATGCACAGAAAAGTGTTTTCTTGGGAAGAAATTGAGAATTGTACCTAGAAAAGAAATGGGATAAGTGTATCCATTTTCTTTATATATAGAAAAGACTTTCCTAAATGCTAAACATTACATAAAAGACAAATTTTGAGAAAATAAATTACGAACCTGGAGATTTATCCATGGCTGGATACCCTTCTCATTTCCTGCGAACCAATAAAATTTTAAAGCGGATATGCCAAGTTTCTCATGGGATATTTTAACATCCAATACTTATTCAACCCAGAAAAGCAGCAAATTAGCGATAAAATTTTCATTGCTAATTAATCAGTCTAATTCCATCGCTAAGTCTTTTTTTAATTTGCAATGGAATTAGCAAATTCAATCACTTGTTGAATTCGCTGTTGTTTTAGTTCTTTAAAGAGTATCTTACCATTTGAAATTTTTTGAACCATAGCAGGAACGGGAATGCCAGAATACGAGTCACCGCCAATATAAACTTGATGTGACAAAAATCTGGGATGATCAATGAGCCACTGCAAATATAATACGGTAAATTTTATAACAAGGTCTATGGATCGCCCTGCATATTGTACAATATTTGAGGCAGCCCGTAATTTTTTTTGATAAAAAGACAATATATATAAATAATAAAAAGCAGAGTTTATAGTACTATAACAGAATTACTAAAAATGGAAAATAAAAAAAATCCTAACTAAATCACTATTAGAAGAACAGATATCATAATTTGAAAAGGAGTTGAGCATCATCAAAATGTCTTGTGAGGCAACCGGCATTTTTTTTTTCAGTTTATGAATGAAATGAATTTTTCATGGATTTCATAAATATATATATTGGGGTTGACTAATTAGCTATATATAGTTCTGTGGGAAAATCGCAAAAAAAGACTTTGGAATTGTAAAAACGCAGATAAGGACCCTTGACAACTTCACTTTGGGTTTTGATAATAATAATATGTCATGAAATTGTTAAAAGCCATAGTGAAGTTGTCAAGGGTCCCTATCTGTGTTTTTGTAATTCCAATATCTTTTTTTACAATTTTCTCTATGGCTGAGTGAAAAAACTGCTGGTAGTGATTTCATAATTAAATTGGTGAGAAATAAAGTTTGGAGTTATTGGGGATTGATATTGTACGTACCTTTCTAATAAATTGATGGGCATGGTTAACTAAAGTCCAGTCACCTCGTTGAAGATAAGGGGTATTTGCATAGGAGAAGCCACTGCCAATAGGCAAATCTACAAAAATTATGCTGCATGCCTAGATCAACAAAATGAACAAAAATCAAAATCATATTCCTAGTAGAAAAGTTTATATAAATTTATTGGTTCTTACTGTTTTTTCTTGTATCATTCTATATTAATATTTCTTTTTGGTTGTTTTGATCCTCCTGTTATGATACCGGTAAACCAAAAAATCCTTTTCAAAGAATTTTTTTTATGAAGATGAATTCAATCTAAAACTAGATTAGTTATAAGTAAGGGAAAATAACCCCCAAAAAAAATCTGTTAAATTTTAAAAAGACAAATAGATTATGTTAACTACTATTGTAATAGTTTTGACTACCGTTATAATAGTTTTAACAAGTTAAAATATGTCAAAATCATCTATTTGTTATTTTAAAATTAAATAGGTATTTTTCTGTCATTTTTCCTATAAGTAAACTTGAAAAAGGTTTTTCACCTTTGTCCACGCTTGAGGCCTCCGAACCAATTTTGGGAGGGTACCATTGTATTTCTCAACTTTGAATGCGATCGGACCTATATTATAATTAAAACAAAAAAAGCAATGAAACGTTTTTGAAAAGCAATTTAATTGACGGCAACAGGTAATATACACCGGAGAGTATGTATATATAGAGCACTTATAAATTATCAGAATACTACTTTGTTTTATGTATATTTATAGTTATAATGCCAAGGGAGATTTTCTATTTATAAATCATTTCATTAAATTTTTAATATGACTATTTTAGCTTTCATTTATTATTGAACAGATTGTTATGTTCTTCAAATTTCATATATTAAATACAGTAAAGTTATAAAAAGTTATTAAATTTTCAAATAGAGTTAATAGAGTTTAAAATATTTCTCTTTTTTTTAAAATTTTTTTTTTTTTGATAAAGCATGTTGAAACTTAAAATAAGTCTCTGTATTAAAGCCGAACAATTGACTAATGGGAATAAATTGAAGATACATAACCTTGAGGAAAAGTCTTATTAAATTGACCTAAGCTATTTTGGTAGAAAAATCAAATTTAATATATACTCCTCTAGTTCTATTTATAGGGTATTTGGATCATTTTTTATATGAGTTAGGAAAATCTTAAACTACATTAAAATATAACAATTTTTCAATTTCATTCTTATTTAATATATACACTTTGTATGAAAATAATAATGCAAACTATAATAAATGAAATATAAAATAGTACATTAATCTAAAAAGTTCAATGATCTGACTTATAAATAGGATAAAAAAATCTTTTCTATTTGCCTTATAAATAGGATTGGAGTACATTATATTTTTCAAGTATCCCGTCCGATAGGGCAAAATAAATTGATGAATTATAATTTCGACTAAACCTAACCCTCAACTTACTTTATGTTAAAAATAAGAGGCAGTATAATATAAGTATTGAAAATCACACTATTTAAATAGTGGTGAATAATACAGTTTCCAATCTGAAGCTTGTGTAAAACAGGGGCCCAATATTTAGATTATATATATTTTTTGTTTAGAGAAACATAATAAGCATATAATAAAGATGAGGAGTACAGATTTGGAGTGACCTATTTCAAAAATGAGGCCTGAAAATGAAGAGCAACCAGGGCCACCAGTGAGCCAAAGCATAAGAGGGTCCTCCTGTGGATTGTTCTCTGACTCAATGAAATAATAGAACACTTGTCCTCCTTTTTCTGAGTCTCCCACTCCCACATACCTACGTAGACACATATCATATACCACATGTCAAAAAAAATAAAAGAGGAGAAGAACATAATATGTAGATTCGAATTGGATCACTGGAGCTCTCACACAGAATTTAGATTATTAATTAGAGCCTATACCAAACGCAAAGTGTAGACCAATATAATAGAGTCTATACTAAAATGGCACAGCAAATGCACTCCGCAAGAGAGAAAAAGAAAGAGAAGGAGAAAGATACTTAGAAAACTCAATGGTTGCAACTAATAACTGACAGAGGCATCCTTTATTCATAGTGTCATGAAGCTAAAATACCCACATTTTAGGAAACAAAAATATTCCTAGAATGCGATAAATTAATTGCTGCATATTTACCACGATCAATCTCAATAAATTAAATTTTGATTTAATGTTTATTTAATTAAGCAAAAGTCCTAAATAATATTCTAGCTTACCAAAGTCCAAATGAAGAAGCAAGGCTTTAAAGTTTGAAAATTGGGGAATTGAGCACTAACCCAGTTTCGAGATGAAAAGGAAGAGGGCCTTCAAAACCAGGAAGGCGGTGAACAGGTGAACCAGAAGTTGCAAACTGAGCACAAATCTGGAGCAAAACAAGAGCAAGAACAAGAATCTCATTCATCACTCTGCAATATGAACCTTCTTGTCTTCGGATTTTAGTGTCCCGTTCCTTCCTCTATGTGGAAAGACGATGGTAACTTGTACGTACATAAATGAATAAGACGAATCAAATGTAGCTCAGGTATATGTTTGCTGGAAATCAAGGATATAAATATTATAGGCTTTTGGCGGAAACGATAGACCCGTGCAACTCGGGAATAACAGAAAACAATATTTTAATGCTCCGCATGCATCTTATTTCATACAATGATAAAGTGTGTGCGTCTATATATATTATATATAAGTCAACTGCAACGTCACGTGGTGCCTTTCTTTTCTTTGCTTTCTTTAAATATTTATTACTATTTGTATGCTTATCTCTATAAATGACGATTTAACTCTATTGTGCTATTTTTATATCAACTAACCAAGAAATAAATTTTAAACAAGAACTTAAAAATGATTATGAAAATATTATATATTTAAGCCTATAAATTCTAAATACCTTTTGCCCATTAAATTATAGGACATATAATTTATTTTACAATAAACTCTTATCGCTAATATTTCCATTTTTTTAAAAATAAACAATGTAATATATAATTTTCATATTAATTAAGTAGATAGATGTAATAATATTACTGCCGGGGATTGGGAAAAGTTGTAATGGATATGTAAAAATCGTTTGACTCAACTGATATGAAATATTTTCTTACGCAAGAGATCGTGAATATGATAGATTCATAAATATTTTTCATTTGGGTGGAGTATGATAATAAATCAATGTGTATGGTAATAATTAATATACCAATGCTTGCAACCAATGGTTTAAAACCCGGACCGGTCGAACCATGGGCCGAAAGCATCAACGGTCCATTTTTGCCGTTCAAACCGTTTGAAAGGTTAGACCAGATTGAGCCGTCTTGAACCGGCTGTTGAGCCGGAAACCGGATTTGGGCCGCGAACCGGAACGGATTTTTAAAAACCGGCCGGATTAGAGTTGGAGTGGGTCTAACGTTGTCGACTGAAAGTGAAGATGAATTGGGAAGGAAGAAAACTGATAGACCGTAGAAGGGAAAAGACGAAATGGTAGAAGGAAGAAAGAAGCAACAAAAAGAAAAGAAAGGGAAGAACAGCTAAAAGAAGAAGGAGGTAAACTTGATCTAACCTAGAAGAAGAACACGAATGAATCCTGAAGGTCGCTGCAACTGGTGTGGGGAGAGTTTTGAAATTGTTAAAATGAAATAGAGTTGATGGACACCGGCATATGAGGCACTGCCCAACGGGCAAAGGGGTGAGTTGCGTAGAGAGTTGAAGAAGCGTGCTCTGTGAAAAGTAAGATCACATAAATGCACCTCGAGAGCGGAAATAAGTAGGTCTTTTAGGTACATCACAGGATCAGATTAATGTCAAATCTCATGTTTTTCCATTCCAATTTACAAAGAGACTCTTACAAGCATGTTCATATTCCGTTGTGTGTGTTTTTTTTTCCCGCAATAAATCAATTTATTCAAAATTTATATAAAATTTATTGAAATATTTTTATATGAAACGATTTTTTGCCAAAATATAAATGACTAAAATAATTTAAATGTGTATATGTATTTAGACAATTTATTTTTTAAAATTTTTAATGATTTGATATTTTATTTTTTACACATATCATTATAAAGATATATAATATCATTTTTAATTTAATTATTATATTAATGGTCCAACCAAACGGTCTGACCGATCCGACCGATTGAACCATGACCCGTTAGTGTTTCCGGTTTAATGTCCGGTCCGGTTTTTAAAACATTGCTTGCAACCCAGGTACCTCGAATAAGTCGTAACTATTTCTTAATGCAAGGGTTTTTTGTCTACCCCAAAAGCATTTTTAAAAAGTACTTTTATACAAGTCGAGATTAAAGTCCTTTCATTATATGGACACCAAATTATGATTTTATAAATGATTTCATAATATACAAAGTAAATATGTCAGAGAAATTTTGTCTTAACTTATATAAAAATACTTTTTAAAAGTGATTTTTGGATAAACAAAATATGTTTTATACACCATAAAATCACTTTTAAAGGTATAGTTTGATTTTCATCCAAATACTGTCATAATTTCCTTTTTCACTGGAAAATGTGAGAATATTTTAATCATATAGCACATCGCATGCAAATGCATGATAATTAATTTTAAAAACAATTCTGTTCACTGTCTAATGTTGAAGTCTCGCGGATCATAAGCGATGCGTGTCAGGCCGGCAAAGCCCAAAAAAAAAAAAAGAAAGATAAAAATAGTGATTAGTGGAAATTCTAGAATTGGGCCTAGTCCACACAACTGGGCTGAACGAGTTTAGCCATATGATCATGCCCAAATATTCTTCCATGTTTCAAAATTTCAACCACCGATCCATTTAGGATATGTCACAAAAGCTCAAAATAAAAGGCATTCAGGGTCCCAAACGTTTAGCACCCATCAATATTTTAAACAACATTGTCTTCAATAATAAAAAAAAAAGAAACTTATGCATAGCCGAAAAAAGGATACCCATAGTTGCATAGGAAAAAAAGTACCCATAGTTTGTAGAAAAAAGTACTCGTAGCTGATAAATGCCTTTTTTCAAATGACCATATATGATTAATACTACTCCCTTTTATCTTATCCTAAATGTATGAGTTAGATAATTAGTTTATAAAAATTAAGAAAATATTTTAGTTTGTTATCCATAAAAATGTTTATTAGTTTTCTAAAATATCCCTTTTAATAATTTGTATATTTGGAACTACTCTCATGATAACAAAATTTGTTAATATATATATATATATATATATATGTTTAATCAATGATGAGAGTTTAGAGAAAACTTATAAATTTACGAAATGAAGTGGATTGAAGTTTTATATTTAGGAATAAAGCGAATTCTTCTACTAATTTTTAGATTTAAAACAAGAGGGAGTACTAGTTATAATAATCATTATAAATTTGTTGTGTTCTTTGGACCAAAAATTTGTTACGTTCTAAAACAAGACTTTAGGTCTTATTTCATATCAACAGAAAGCTGTGTCTATCATCATCTCAATGGTACTTAGATGCTATTCATATACCTCACTCTATCCTTATATATGCAAGCTAATCTCGTTGGCTAGACTTCAAAATTGTTTCTATTTATTTTACTTTTTTATTAATTATTATTTTTGAATGAAGGGCCAATGCATATTTTTCAACTTTAACTGCAACTATATTTTAACAAAATAGCAACAGGTTTGGTTTTTACCAATTTTATGTCGAATTATTCTGTTACACAAATGTCAATTCAGAGAAACTCCAATAGTAAACTTAAAACAATGATTACAACCATTTTCCACGTTCATAAATATAAATAAAAGGGAAAAATGTGTATAATGTATCACAATCACGGTTATAAATGGAGAGCCCTTGTCTTGATAAGATGCAACAAGGATGAAAGAAAAAGTCGAAAGCCTCAAAACCTCAGGTTCGAAGAAGAATAATGGATCAAAGTGGGGCTTACGACATATATATCCTACAATGAGAATATGAAAGAAAAGTGTGCCTCCCCCAACAAATATTGTAAGAAAATGGGTCAGTCCACCCTTGGTGGATTGGATCCAAACCCATTTACTTTGAGGTTCTTGTGTAAATAAACATAACATGTGGGTCGAAAACTGCGATATACTCCTTTTCTTGGTTTAAACTAAGGAGGAAATGGTTACAGGAATGGGATAAGTGGAGGTAGTTAAATAAGAAAACCGCCACATGTATTTTCTGGCTTCCCTCCCTTAGTTCGCAAAAAAAAAAAGTCTTTTTCTTTCTGGCTCTTCGCTCCCTTGTGCATTTATTGTGAAGCATAGTCTGACTCCATCACAGTGATCAGACTTCCGCGCATGGCTATCTGAATTTATTATACACTCCAGGTATACCCGAATCACTACAATGGTATCAGAGCGAGGGTTTATTTTTCTATTGCTGTCATTTTGTGGCTTGCGTTTCATATGCCTTTCTGTTCTAGTGTTTCTTGTTTTTTTCCTCCTTTCGATTCTGAGTATCCATAGATTTGCTTCACATATATACTATGCAAATCCTTTCATTTATACTCCAGTATGATTGTTTTCTGATTTATATTTATAAGTAGATATGATAGACTGCTTCTCTGCCCCCATAAAACTCATAATCTGTATGGTTCGTTTTTTAACAGTTAAAGTGTTCATTTTTTGGTGTCTCAAAAATGAAGTTTTTAGGCTTCAAAAATTATTCCATTGCGTAGAGCTCGAAAAAACGAAGAAAATGACACTAAGAAAGCAAAGAACGGACATCCGACGGAGGAGATATGGGGGAGAGAAGGTTCTGGGTTTGACGGACTTGACTCGCGAAGGAATCCGGGTCAGTCAGACCTGGCTGGAGGTTGAAGACAACCTCCAACCCCCAAATGACGCCATTTTAGTATTGCCTAAAAAAAAAAAAGGGGGTTACCTGGTTGGGCTGGCTTGGTCTGAATCCGGATAGGACCGAACCAGGCCTAACCTATTTCCAAAATTTTTTAAAATTATTATAATTAATTAAATTTAATTTAAAATTTTTTTTGGCTAGAACTGCCACGCGGCTCGTGTCGCCACGTGGTACACTGCTTCGACACGTGGACACTACCACCTGAGAGGTGGTGGCGCGTGGAGGCTGCCGGCACAATACGTGTTGCCGGTTGTAGGCTTCATGTGGCGGGTGGAGTTCACGCGCCGATAGCGTGAGTGGGGCTTAAAATTTTTTATTTTCTCAGATTTTATGCTTCTTGGGATGCGTGTAAGCCCATGGGAGCTCTGTTTGAGGTGTGATTTGTCTCTAAAAATCCATAAAATCAAGGTCTTTATTTGATATATAATTTGTTAATTTTTGAGACAATTAAGGATCTATTTTTTAGTATTTCAGTGTATTTTCTGGTATTTTTATATGGATAAAAATTCTAGAATTTTCAAAATAATTTATATTATTTTGTTTTAGGTGAAAATGAAGCAAGA